TGCAATTTTTTTTTTTTTTTTTTTGGTTTGGTTTTTTGAGACAGGGTCTCACCGTGTAGTTGAGACTGAATTGCAACTCACTATGCAGCCCAGGCTAGTCTCGAACTCACAGCAATCCTCCTGCCTCAGCCTCCCAACTACTGGGATTATAGGCGTGCGCCACCACACCTAGCATACACATTTTTTGATAAATTTAAGTGTTTCTTTTTGTTGTTGTCTTCTATAGAGTTTTCACTTCTATTCTTTAATGTTGTTTTTTTTTTTTTTTCTGTTTCATATCTTTTAAATTACTGAGTGAGTGTTAGTATTAATTCTTTCAGGTTTTCCAGGTACTTTATAACATTCCAAATGGAAATAGAGATAGTTTTATCTCTTCCTTTATCAATTCTTTTTTGTAGTGCTGGCAGTTGAAGCCATAGAACTGAGCAACATCCTAGCCAGTTTTGTTTGTTTTTTGGTTTATTTTTAGATAGGATCACACTTAGTTGCCTAAGATGGCCTCAGACTTACAGGCCTGTGCCACTGTGCCTGGTGTCTGCTCTTCCTTACCAGTGCTTAAGCCATTTGCTGCTTTCCTCTGTCCAGCTCCATTGGTGAGGACCTGTCGCATCGTGCAGAATAGCAGTGGAGATGGTAGGCATCCCCGGATTGTTCTTTATCTTAGTGGAAGTGCCCCTTGTATTTCTCCATAAAGATGCTGGCTTTACAGCCAAGTTGTACCATAGTAGGATATTATCCATCAGTTGCTATTTTCTTGAGCGTTTTCATCAGGACTGTGCGTTCAGTTTTGTAGACTCTTTTTGGCATCTGTGAAGGTAACCAAGTGACTAGTTTAGGCCAATTAATATGACTTACGGTATTAATGGCTTTCCTAATATCAAACCAATCTTACATTCCTGATATAAATCCCATTTGGTTGTCGTGTATTATTTTCTTAATATGGTGTTGAATTGTTTGCTGTTGATGATTTCTTTGTTGGTTCTCTTTAGTTGGAGTAAACTGTTTACAGTGCACAAGCACCAGCAGAGTTTACAGATGTGTGTCAGGTAGAGCAGGTGCCTTTGCTGCCTCGTGCACTGGTAGCCACTGGCCACTCAGGAGTTTTAAACTAGCTCAGACCTATTTTAAATGACTGAATGTAACACATATTAATTATAACTGCTGATGAATGCCCCGGTATCCCTAAAGGTAGTTTTGGATTTGTATATATTCACTTGGCCCGATAAATGTTCATTATTATAAACCAACCTAAAGTCCTGTTTGCGCATTGGTATTTAGAGAAGGAGAGCTGTCCTTAGTGAGGTGAAGCAGCAGAGCAGAGCCAGGTACTCATGCTCCTGGCTTTGTGCTCAAGGTCCTCTTGGGTTCCATCCTGTCTGAAGCACTCACCTCCCACATGTCTTCTCGCTGACACTGGAGTTGCTAGGAATGTTAACAGCCAGCACATATTCTTCTCAGATGAGCAGAAATGCTGACACAAACAAAAGTACTGTGTCTGGGTCCCAGGCCCAGTACAGGCTCAGTGCTTTGCTAGAAGGACTCACAGGACTTGGCTAAGATGAGGGTGGTTGTGCCTTGCAGCAGCACAGTAAGGGTGCAGAGCATATGTGTAAAGAAAAAGGACACTCAGATGTAGGGAGTGTGGAGAAATCTGGGCTTAGGCTTTCTTCATGCCCTCCATCATGCCCCTCCAGGCAGGGTCTCAGAGCTGGTCCCTCCCGTAGCAGTTGCATGAACACATGTATATTTCTGCCCAGGGAAGCCCCCTACCCATGTCTTGAGCCTGAGGTTTCCATCAGGGCTGGTTACACACTCATTGTCTGCCCAGTCATAACTACCAAGGCCCCAGACCAGCAGGAGGCAAGAGGTATCGCTGTGCACCATGCTGCGCAGTTTGTACCAGTCGTCCAGCAGACTGGCACAGGAACATTGCACTGCTCAGTGCCCGGATGCCAGCCTAGGCAGCCAGACAAGCAAGGCTTTCTGAAGTGTGCTGTTTCCTGCTTACGGCACTGTTCCATGTCCTTCTCTAACATGGTCTACACTAACACTCGTTTCTTATTTCAGTCTCAGCCCCAGCTACATCGATCTGACTGAATGTCCCTACATGTGGCCCTACTGCTCCCAGCCCATCTACTATGGAGGAATGCCAACAATCGTCAATGTCACCATTCTCAATGGCATGGGGGTCACAGGAAGAATTGTGGATAAGGTAGCTCTCTGACTTGTTGGTGACTTTGATGCGTCCAGACCTTTGTGCCTTAGTTATCTCTGCTGAAGCTAAGAAAGGAAAGACGCTCCTCATCTGTCTAGGGTCATGGAGCCATTGCAGGTAGTAGTTTGTGTGCCCTAAGACCTGAACAAAAAGGTTAGGACGTAAGTTAAGGAAACCAGTTTCATTTTTTTGCTTTGGCATGGTGAGTTTGATTCTTCATATTTTATTCCTTAATAAGCGTGATTGGGCTGTCGTATTTAAGATGTATAATCCTTCTCTTGAATTTTGCTTTTATAATTTTTGATGATTTATATTGTAGACATTATCACAACAGTAAGGGCTTGGGGAAAAAGAGTGGGAAAAACTCATTTCCGGCCCCAGCTTACTAATACACGTCTGTTTTTAAAATATTTACTGGTTCCTTACCTGAGATACATACTTTTGTTATCTTTGTGTGATAGGTAAGAATTTATTATCTTTTTTCAGTTTGGGTTATGGTGTAAACCTTAAAAATTTACCAGTGTGCTTTTAATGGCTTTTTTTTTTTTTTTTTTTTTTTTGGTACTGGGGATTGAACTCGGGTCCTTGTGCTTGCAAGGCAGGCCACTGAACCGCTGAGCTAAATCCCCGGCCCTTTTAATGTTTTTTTAACATGATACTGAGTTGATAGATTATAACTTACTGTTTTCCCTTGCTTGAGCAGTTAGGTGGCTTTGAACTCTGAACGTTTTACTATATTTGAGTATATGGTTTTCTTAGCATAAATTCCCTGGTTTGGAATCCTGAATCAGAAGGCATGAACATTAAGGATTCTTCCCAAGAGAGTTATGTCAGTTCAGACTGCCGCTGCTGGTATCTGGTGGGAACATGCCCCTAGCGTGTCAGTGTTGATGGTACATCTTTTACATACCATAAAATTTAGCCTTTTAAATTGTGCAATTCAGTGGTCTTTAGTATATTCACAAGCTTGTGCCAACATCTCGTTTTAAAACATTCCTATCGCCCCTTAAAGAAATGTTGTGCCCATTAAGTAGCAGCCACTCCCTACTCCCTTCTCCCCAGGCCTGGCAGCCACCAGTCTGCTTTCCACGCCAGGGTTTGTTCTGCACACTTTATGTGGCATTTGTCTGTGAGTGGCTCCTCATTTTGTTCATGGTGGATCAGTGCTTCACCCCTTTCTATGGCTGAATATTACTCTGCTGTTGGAGTGGGCATTTGGCCTTGCGAGCTGGTGTGTCTTTTGACTGCACATTTAGGAGGGATAAGATGGGTGCCTATTTAATGGCACTTTCTCACTTGTGAAGTGGATCTCTCCATGTGAGGTTGCTGCCTATACTTCCTCAGTTTGAATTCCCCTTGCTTTTTGTTGGCCATGTTTGTACTGTTGTGCCCAAGTCGTGAAGTCCCCAAAGACCACCAAGGAGTCATGTCCGTTGCAATTGCAAGAGGAGTTTATTGCAAGCTCGAGCTTGGACTCTCAGGTGTCACCATCACAGCGGCTTCAGACTGAGAGCCCAGATCCAACTTTGAACCAAGTTTATATAGGATTTTTCTGTTACTATTTTTTGTTTTCCCTTGTCATCAAGGGGCATCGGGAGGGCACATTGGAACATGACCTAATGCTTACATTTGCAAAATTATCATGGGATGCTGGGAGGGTACGTATTGGAAAGTTACCTAAAGCCTTTAAACAATTAATTCCTCTTTTTCAGTAGACAATTAATTCCTCTTTTCATTAGACAATTAATTCCTCTTTTTTGACTTTTTGCTATCTAAGATATATTACTATTTATGTCCACTATAATTAATTCCTATATCAGCTACAACTAATTCCTATATTGGTTAGATCACCCAAAAGAAGCTTTTATATCAACTATACTTAATTCCTATATTCACTAAATTACATAAAAAGAAGGTCATCTTAAAAAGAGGAACAGAAGCAGGGTGGAGATGCACTAAAAGAGGAACTGCAATTGTCAAAGCACAGAGAAACTGCCACATAGAATGGAATTTTTCAGAAAGGAACTTTTGCATTTACTCTATCCTGGGTAAGGGGCATGGAGCCCACCATGACCTGGAAACTTGGTCCTCACAGTACTGGGATTGAGATTTTTTTTTTCCATCAATACTAATAGTGTCAGAGAAACTTGACATTGATGTATTTTATACAGAAAGTTCCTGCCAGGTTTATTGTTTTCCTTGCTCTTTATCTTTCTGTAAAATTTTATATTTTGATATAGTTGGAATTTCTTCTATTGTGTCAAAGATTAGAATCTTATCTGTAAAGAGATGATACAATCTCAGTTTTAAATTTCCACTAGTTTTTCTGTTAAATTTTGCATTTTTTTTCATCTGTGTTAGTTTGCTGTTTGACCTAAGAGATGGGTGAAAGTTGATCTTTCCCAGTTTCTAAGCAGTACCTGAGAGCATTCATTAAAAACCCCTTTCCTTTGGGGCCGGGGATTTAGCTCAGCGGTTCAGTAGCCTGCCTTGCAAGTGCAAGGACCCGAGTTCAATCCCCGGTACCAAAAAAAAAAAAAACCCTTTCCTTCTCACTGTTGTGATGCTCTATCCTATAAATACTTTTCTTCCCCAGGTTTTTTATATATATACTGATTGACTTGAGGAGTATGTTCTTGCTCTGTGGCTTTTGAGGGAGATGAGTAATTTAGGTTCACTTGAAACATTGACTCATTATAAGAGCAAATGCAGGTTTCTTCCAGCTGGTCACCTCGGTCTCACTCTCTGCTTTCCTCTAATCTCAGAAGGACAGCAAGGCAGTCACCCACGGCGAAGCCCGCTCTGCTCTGCCTGCAGTGGCCTCTCACTGGCTGCATGCAGGATTTGGTTGGGGACGTTGATGTTCATGGCATTTGATGCTTTTCAGTTAATGGACTTTTTGGTATATAACTGTCAGGCATCTAACCTCAGGTCTAAGAGGTTT